GGAAATGTAGTAAACTTGCAGCAAAGGGTTACCTCAACTAGGGTTAAATACTAAATAGTGAACAACTTGTTTTTTTTTTTTTTTTTTTTTTTAATACAAACATCCCTCACGGGTGATAGTGGTGCTGGTAGGAGCAGACGCCACTAACAACTTGGGTTAAATAGTGAACAAATTGGGTAAAAAAGTGAACAACTTGGGTTAAATAGTGAACAACTTGGGTTAAAGAGTGAACAACTTGGGTTAAAGAGTGAACGCGAGGTATGTAAGTAGCTACCGTCTTTCACCCGAATAGAACGCCAGGTCATTATTGCTGTATTTGGCACAACTTCAAGCCCAGATACAGCCATAATTATCGGGCGTTCTATTCCGGTGAAGACGGTAGTGTGAGGTGGGCCGCTGCCCTTTTCAAAGGAAAAAAAAATGGAGGAAGAGGGAGAAGAAACTTAGCCACTGCACCTAACTTATCCAGACAGCACTGGGCTGTTGAATGTTTTTTTTTTTTTTTTTTTTTTTTTTTTTTTTTTTTTTAATTATGTTGAATGTTGTGGGCATTGTGCGCATTATTTACATCACTCCCGAATAAAACAAACAAAAAAAAACTGTGGTATGTACTTTAACTCCAGGTTCCAAACATCATTAACACCTTCCTATGTATGCTGCACGGATGTAGATACTCCAAATTTGACACCAAGGGCCTCGCCACACCACTCTCGAAATGTGAAAACNAAAAAAAAAAAAAAAAAAAAAAAAAAAAGCCTGCTTTTGGCTTGGCCCTCCAGCCATTTCAGTCAAGTCCCTGAGTCGAATGAGAGTACCGCCGAGGCAGCACCTAGCAGGGAGCGAATCCCGCAGATCGACTGGTTTAGTACCAAGTGGCCATTCACTCATAGACCCTTGACAACAGGAAGCTGTCGTAAGCATAAGAAAAGCGGGTGGGGAGAGAGAGAGAGAGAGAGAGAGAGAGAGAGAGAGAGAGAGAGAGAGAGAGAGAGAGGAAAGAAGAGAAGAGAGAAGAGGAAAAACAACGACGACACAAGTAGCGCAGAGAAGCTTTAATAATAAAAACGTGACGAACCGAAGCTTGCTGCCGTATACCTCGACCGGTTTCGATCTCATCGCCAGTATGAGATCATCATCAGGAGGTTTCGAATGCGCATTTGGAGGACGTTGTGAGAATGACAATAAATAGTAGATAACCCCAGCCATGAAGCCCTGCTTCATTGTCCGACTTACCTCGTCTGTTTTTTCCCGCCTTTAGCTGCGTACTCAATCAGAACGCTGCAGATATGTTCTGCTCATGCAACCTACGGAAGCCTACTGCCCGTTCATTAGTGCCATAGTATGAGAGGAGAAGGAGAAACAAGGGTCCCGGACGTCAGAGGATTTGAGGAGAAAAATGGGGTACTTCAAGGAGGTACAAGGGGTTTAGATAATCGGGAAAGAAACTGGAAGGGAAAAAACGGGGTATGGCGGGGTCAGAGAGGAGAAAGAAAAGACAACGAAGCGAGTAACAATGGTCAGGAAGACACAGACGCAGGGGCTTGGGCGGGAGAAATCACAGAGCATATGGTGGAAAAGACTCAATCGACAGCCAGGTGACGATGCGAGATGTCCGAAGGTTAGCGAAAAAGACAGTGGGGAAGATCCAAGGCGGAGAGGTGGTATAGATGAGATGTCAGAAAGATTACGGCGGGATTCCTTTCGTACCAGGGCGATATCAGAAATCTGGGTATGAACAAGACAAGCAGCATGCGCGTGACGCGAGATCGGAAGCTACGAGTATGGAAGAGCTAAGCAACAGTGGCGGGCGGGTAGCAGCAAAAAATCATAAAAAAGAGAAAAAAAGAGAAAGAAAATAAGAAAATAAGCTATCCGCCATGCTTCGAGAATCCCAGTCCCTACCCCTACCTAGTTTTTTACTCGTTTTTCCGAAAAACAGGGCCAACTCTCAAAAACGTCAACCCAGCCCTCAATAGGTCAGCCCCCATCATCGAGTACCCCTTTATTTACGAACAACACCTCTTCAGGGGCCTAAAAGCCCAGAGCTAATTTTTACTCTGATAGTCCAGTCCCCGCAAAAACAACCCTGCCTAGTTTTAACTCGTTTTTCGAAATCAAGGCCAACCCTCAAAAAGTCAGCCCAGCCCAATCGTCAAGTACCCCTTTATTTACGCAGGACACCTCATCGAGGGCCTTGAAAAACCAGAGCGTGGGAAAACCCTTCAACCGCATCTCCCTCCTTAAAGACAAGAGGGTTTTGCCCACTCCCCTATGGTCTGAGGAGTGGGCAAGAATTCGATAGACGTGGCATTTCAATGAAGCTTTCTTGTGCTGCACCGGGCCGTACGACCAGAAGTCCTTTGTCGTTTGAAACAAAATCGACTCATTGTCCCATAACGAACCTTCATTCTTGATTGTGGCAACACATTTGACAGACGGAGGGCATGCCTGGCAAACAACCGAGCAACCCAACCCAAAAAATCCCATTTTCCAGAACCGTTGTCGGTCCTAATAAGTGACAAGTTAGCGTCATAAGCTTTGCTGAACTTTGTCACCAAATCAGCCGCCTTATCAAGCATACCTCTCCCTAGATCGGGGAGGAGAACAAAAAGACAGACATCATCAACAAGTCTGATCCCTGTTAAATATCTACTGTCGGATCCAATGGACTTGAGGAAGGTACACTCATTATAGGCACACAGTAAACAGGCAAGGGCCGGGCTTGAACTCTTTCCCATTGGGATACCTACCACCTGCCTGATCACTCTCCCTGCAGTTTTAGCATATCTATTATCGAGATCAAACTGAACAAAATCCATGATCATAGAGAAATTGATAGTTACCCATCCAGATTCTCCAAAAGCCGAGGAAAAACTGGCTCCCTTTCCATTTCTACAAACCCGCACGCTCCTGTGCCCTTTCCCAATGAACTCCTCACATACGCATTCAACAGCTCTCAAGATCGACGTGTGCGGTAGGCGAGAGAACATCTCCTTAACGTCGAAACAGGCTCCAAGAAGACATCCGTTCTTCAGTTTAGAAACCTTTTTATCTAACCGCACAATCCTATCTTTCAAGAGTGAAGTAGCTTTGAGATTAAAGTGAGAATAATGGGGTAAGCTCCAGACGAGGAAGTTGATTGCCTTAGCAATCACCTTGCAGGCCCTAACGCTAGGCTCAGCAAAGGAGGGGGCTATCGGGCGCCACCTAGTGATATCCTTGTGCTTAGGGATTCCGTAACAGCAACCAAGAGTTCCGCGATTGTTCCCAAGGGGCAATCTTAACGGCGCCAATGTCAAAATATTTCTTTCTACAGGCCTTGATCACTGCATCGATGTCAGAATCGACTACTTCAAACCCAGAGTTGTCCCAGTAGAGTTTTGCCAAAGCCTGGTGGTATGTGTACTTACAACATACCCGAGAGTCTCCGATATTGTGATCAATGGGACAAACCACCAGCCTTTCCAATTTTTTTTTCCAGTCAGACACAGAGGTTGACCCATCATCATATTGTGTGTATCCGCTCCTCAAGCACATCCGCAGAACATTGGTAGAGATGGACAACTTACCTAAGCATTTAAAAGTGCCATCTTCGATGATCCGCCTAATATAACCTGTAGTTAGCCCTTGTCCCGGAGGAAAGGCGTTCCTTGAATTACTTAGACAGTCTGGTATACCAGAGTACTCAGAGAATCTGAAAAAAACATGGTTATCTTCCCCTCTGGGCAAATCAATGTTCTCAGATGAGCAAGAACACGACGGGTCGGGCTCATTAGCGATCAGCCGATGATTGTGAAAAATTATTCCGATGGTTTTAGGGCTCGTCCAGATGAAGCGAACCCTTGAGACCATGAACTCCGCCACACACGGGGGCTTACACCACGCCCTAACCTCTTTTTTGACGAGATTTACAACTTGTCTTTTCTTAGCACACTCAGAAAAAACAGACTCAATAGTGATCACTGTCAAACAATTGACTCCACTTTTTGATTTAAGTGCCCGTCCTACTACCCCTTTTAGAATGGACCTCGTTCGACCATTGTTGAAAGAGTCAATACAATTATATAACTTGATTAAAGCTTCCAACTCGAATTTGTATAACAGCCTTCTATATGATGGCAACGTCAGTAGAGAAATAAGAACAACTCTTCTTTGTTGCGTGAGGTTACTCACCATTCTGATACGCAGAATATCAAAGGTACCACCTCCTGCGAAAATCGCCTTTGCGTCTTTCAGAAAAAAAAATATTACCTTCGAGGTCACTAACAATAGACCATCCAGACTTTTTCTTTAGTCGCCCCCATCCATCAAAAAAATGGTGTCCTCCCGTGGTCCGTATACAGGCAGTATACTTATGCTCTGATACTGCATTCTGAAGCGCAGAGAACAGAGAAAACACAGTAGTTGCCCCTCTCGGGATAAACGCGCTGCCGACAGCTACTTCCCAAGATAGAATACTACCGTAGGTAACGGAGCGTGGAAACAATGCCTGCATTCGTCTAGCAGCGGCCTTGCGCTCTCTCTTCCCCTTTCTATGGCTCCTACCGCGTTGCTTTCGTCTGACAGTATTTAATGCAGGTGCCCATCTGGCTATGCAGGATTCTTCCAGACATCTCAGTTCGCTGTCAGATGCAGAAAAAAGTGGTATAGCTACATAACTATCCCACCCTTTTGACGCAAGCCATTTCCTGAGCTTATGGTTTCTTCTCTCGGACAGGTGACTCGCCGATAAGACATGCTCGGACCATCTTTCAGACACTCCCCTACTAGTGGACCCTATATAAGTAGCCTTGCACCACGGAGAGATAAGAACATAGACACAGTTCCCCTTACCTTCACAGATATCATAACCGTTGTGGACCCAAGCGATCCACTGGTCAAGGAACTTAGTTCCCCAGCTTACCTGTCCTGCAACAATCAGTAATAAGACAAAGAACCTGAACAGATGTTCCAACCGGCGCTTCCCTTCCCCTCTTAATCCTTTGTCTCTTCTTTCATCACGAAGATCATGCACTTTATTCCACAACCATCGTGGATCGTGGTAGGACTCAAGAAGGATTCTCCTCTTGAGATTCTTCCGCTGTTTCCTCTACCTGTTCATCCTCCTCCACATCTCCATATGCATCCCTCACTCTGATGGCGGTTAAGTCGGCAACCGCCTGCTTCTTGTTGTGATATTTGATCCCATCTCGTTTGCAGAGATCCACCAGCTCTTGTTTGTACTTCGACATCAGCTCCTTCCCCATTTCCTCCTGGTACCGGCGCCGTCCACCAGGACCAGGGTCAGCAACAACTGCCTTGGTTCCTTCCTTCACACGATCAAATCCCAATCCTGCAGAAGCACCCAAGCGAACAGCTGAGAACGACCCTGAAACACGTCTAGCCGTTCCTGCGACCGATGCAAAAACATCAGCCAGTCTCCCCGTCGATCTTGGGGCGATTAGCCGACCCGTGATTTCCATCTGTAGTATTTCCATTAGCCACCCTTCTACCTGCAGCTGGTGCAGTAGGAGGTGGCGGTGGTGGAGGGGAAGAGGGTGGCGGAGGGGGAGAAGATGGAGGCGAGCCAGGGGGAGAAAAATGGGGGGACGTAGGACGTGGAGGGGACAGTGGGCAGGGAGGAGGTGGATGTTGCCTTCGTGGCGGGACCGGGGTGGGAGGATGCTGCACAGCATGGCCCGTTTGAGTGGGGCCAGCATTAGAGCCATGTTTAGGCCTATTACCGTCAGTGGGGTGGACTGGGGGGACAGGTGGAACGGTCCTGATAGACGGGTCTTGGTGAGAGGTGCGAGGGGGAGGGGGAGGGACAGGAGCAGCACCCGAAGGGCCAGCGCCGTTAGCATGAGCAGGTGCATGCTGAACAGTTGTTAGAATCGCACGGTGTGAGGCCTCGATCTTCTCGATCATCCCCAGCATGGGTTCGAACATAGCATTCTGTTGAGCCTGCTGGCTCTCAATCAATTTGTTCTGCTGTGTCTGCGCCCGTTGAACGCTGTCTATGTTCATGAGTAGCAATCCAGCATCTAGCGCGCCGACTTCCTTCACTCTTTGACGAGGGGTGGATGGTTGGCTCGATGCAGCTCCCGCCATCTCATCTTGGCCTCTCTTTTTATTGTCAATAGCGGCTGTCACTTTCTCGCCCTCTGGTTTACCAGGCTCCTTCTCCTTTCCCTTCTCAATCCTTTCCCATATCTTCTTGTTCTCTTCTTCTCTCTTCTTATCCATCACTCCTAAGCGTTCATCCATCATCTTGGCCAATCTGGCTTCCTTCTCAGCTTCCTTTTTCGCCTCATCCTCCACCATTTTCGCCTCAGCCTCCTTGGCAATCCTCTCAAGTTCTTCCCTCGTGCGGCGTTCACTTTCTAACCTCCTAATTTCCTCTCAAGTCCCTGAACCCCCAAAAAATGCGGCCCTATACGGTCACGCCTTTGTTTTTCTTCTTCTTCTCTTTTTTTTTTCTTTTTTTTTTAAGCCCAAGCGGGGTGGACTACTGCTGTTTTTTTTTTTTTTTTTTTCTAAAGGAAGAAAACTTCCGGAGCGGACTACTGCTGGTTTAATATGGTAATAAAACATCCAAAGGATTCGCTCCAAGGCAAGAATGAATGGAGATCATTTCGCTTTAGCTATTTGGCAACACACCAACAAATACACACAGTTGATGTAGCTCAGTGGTTAGAGCACCGGTTGGAAATGCGCATTGTGGTATGAGGTTGCGGGTTCGAATCCGCAGCCGTGCGCATGGACACCGGCAGGCTGTTAGAATGACGCACGGCTGGACATACACGCCCTTGGGCTGACGCATGGTACTATTACAGACACTGCCTGCGCACCACCCAAGGGTTGTTCATGGTGTTGTATGTTGGTTCTGGGTTTCACACGGGTTGCTTGGGTGGGATGGTCTTGGGTGTTCTGTGGATCTCCCCAGTCTGGCATATCATCCGTTTGTTCCATTTCCGCTGGTTCCTCATATGGCAGAGTTATTCGATTATATGTTACAAGGTCATGGGCTCGAGCTTGGCTCGGTCCTTGGGGGGGGTCCCTGTCCAGCTCCTCGCCGTTACATTTCCATACATCGATTCACAGAGCACACACAGCCTTCGGGCATACATACTTGGTTTGCGAACTATACATGGCCTACGGGCTACATACACAAGCTTCCATACATGGTGCTAACTGTACATCTAGCCTTCGGATATATAATACACATACATTGCGAACTGTACAACTATCAGACTGGGGGGATCTATCACTAGGTAGGGTTTAGTATCGTAGTAGGTACGAGGCTGGTCACCGGAGTTCCTACTGATATTCGGATAGACCTGTCTAGTGGCTTAGGCTTAGACCCTAGGCTGAGGTTAGGGTATAAGTCGCTTAGGCTAGTCTGAGTTCCGCCTGGCCTTGGGTAAGCTAGGAAAAGGACGGTAAGACTGCTTCAATGAGTGCTGCCCTGTCTGAAGTCCTCGTTCGACAAGGTTCGTCCGACTCTGCTTCCACCAGGGCTGGGGAAGTCCTCGTTCGACAAGGTTCGTCCGACTCTGCGTCCTCGTTCGACAAGGTGCCTATCACTGCTGCTCGGTCCAAGTTACCTGTCCATTGGTAGGGTGATGGTCCTGAGTGCTCGTCACACTGAGGTAGGATAGTGGGATAGGGGGTGCGCTAGGAGTATTGATGTGAGGATGGGATGGGAAGGTGGTCTCATATTCCAGGACATCCACGGTCTACCAGTCCAGGTGATCACTGTGCAGTCAGTGACCCACCTCTACAACACCATGGACTTTAAGATAAGAAAAAAANGGTCTAGAATCCGAGATCGTTGGAAAGAATGAGATCGAGTGCCTGAGAGAAAGAGGACGTGGGTTCAAATCCCTTATCGAGTCTCCTGGGAGGGGTAAGCAGAAGCCGTGGGTTCAAGCCCCTTGGGGGAAGGGAAGGAGGGAAAAAGAGGTGAGGGTTAGAAAAGAAAGAAAAGGGAAGGGGACACACAGAACGCAGGTTACCTACGGAGGCCTTCCTCAAAGAACAGGCCCCATTTTTTTGCCCAAATCCCTGTTTTGGTTCGTCCGAAATTCTTGACTGCGCTAACGAACCAGACGTCCAGGTAATCCCGTAGGCGCAGCTCCGTCTGTAACGCCAAAAGGCTCAAGCCTGGGTGGGCTCCACACGTCGAATGAGAAAAGATGCGATGAACGAGGCAAGTAATTACCCCTTTCTTCTGACTGGAGGATGAATAAGACCCACAGTCCTGGATGGATTGGAAGGTAAGCCGTTGACCATCCTCGAGAATGTCTTGGTTCCTTGTGGTAGCATAACACAACACCTGTGGTTTCTGCCCCTCGCTTCTGTTCACATTGATCGTGCAGCCTATGAAGTCCCAGCTGTCCTTGCTATCGTTGGTTTGTACCAATTTCAGGTTATTGTCGTAGCAGCATTGGAATCTCCTCATTATTTCCTGAACCTTTTTGTCCTGACCCTTTTTCTTCGAATAAACAATGAAAATACTAACATCATCAACGATCCGCATACCGTGCATACTAATAGACCTGGGACTACCAATGCTTCGGAGAAAGTCCCATTCATTGACGGCACACAGTAAGCACGCAAGAGCAGGGCTAGAGCTCTTGCCCATGGGAATGCCATCAATCTGTCTGTAAACCTTATGAGCAGTCCTAGTACATGTGTGATTCAAACAGAAGTGAAGATACTTGGAAATAACCTTGTGTGATGCCCATGTGTGAATTTCACCGTGACCCACCCACATTCCCCCTTAGATTTGCCAAATGTGAAACCTTTACCCCTCTTGTTGACCCTGACCGCCGAATACCGCCGAATACCCTTTCTCTATGTAGAAATCTAAAACCTTCTCGACTGCATAGGTAATAGACTGATGTGGGAGTTTAGAAAACATATCCTTAATATCAAATGACGCCCTCTCAACCTCGGGATTCGTTAACCTATTAATAGCTTTGTTCACATCCATTATACGTCCTTTGATATGGGACGTCATCCTCATGTTAAAGTTCGAATGACAGGGGAGTTTCCATAGTAATGCGTTCACAGCCTTCCCGATCACCCTATCCATCGTCCTAGTTGGCTCGGAGAAGGCAGGGCAAATCGGTCGCCATCTCTGGACATCTTTATGTTTCGGAATGCAGTAGCACTTCCCAATGCTCCCTGTTTTCTTCCACGGGGCAATCTTATGGAACCCATTAGATTAGTAATGCAGTCCTCCTTGTAATCCATCAAGATCGTATCCTCATCCCTCTCCATCACCACATATCCTGCAGAATTGCCGTAGAGAGATTTCATCGCCTGAGAGTAAACAGCTGGACAACAGAAGAAAAGATCACCGGGATTGTGGTCTATAGGAGCACATACCGAGTTATCAACAAGAGGTAGTAAGGCCGAGACTTCGGAAAGAGGCAGTGTTCCTACACCATTTGCTTCAATAGATGTACTACAGCAGGCAAGATCAGAATCTCTGAGTGATGGATGAAACCCAACTTCAGCAAAGGCATCGCGGATAGCATATCGTAGGGCCGCCAGGGATGTGTCCAAGGAGGGTACAGGAATGTTACGTGAGTTGTACATCCGCGGATTCAGATTAGGAACCTGAGACAATCTACAGTTGAAATGACCATCCGTCTTACTCAAAGGAAGACCCGAGGTGATGAGAGCATCCCCGGTAAGTAGGCCCCGACGTCGAAGGCTCCATCTATTGGTGGGGAGCTGCACCTCCTGGAAATCGGGTCCAGCGTCCCTGTACAATGATGAAAATGTATCTGGTCTGGAAAACGGGTCCAGCGTCCGTATGCAATGGTGTGAGTGTATGTGCTGGAAAGCGGGTGCAGCGCCCCTATGCAGAACTGTGTTGATATATACCTGTCTCTTATACACATCTAGATGTGTATAAGAGACAGCACACACACACACACACACACACACACCCACACACACGCACGCACGCACACACATACACATATATGATCTGATGTCTCTCCCTTCCCCCGTATGCACAAAACATCCACCGCAATAGCCCGCAATTTGAATCACACAATAAATAGAACCCTCAACTACCAGTCCAGAAGCAGAATACAGTCGTTATACCCCCATTATGCACGAAACATCGATGCAATGGCCCACATTTCGAATCGCACAATAAGCAGAACCCGTATGCACAAAACATCGACTCCAATAGCCCGCATTTCGAATCACACAATAAAATAAATACAACCCTCAACTCGATGCTTAAAAGATGTCGGATCTGGGATTCGAACCCAAGACCTCCAGTGTGTGAGACTGGCGTGATAACCAACTACACCAACCCGACGTCATGGTGGATTTTGCTTGCCTAGTCTTCTTATTGGGAAGTATGCCAGGGGTGCCTTCACTCGTAGTGGCTGCCTAACAACGGCCGACCGGCTCATTGTATGACAGCTGTCCTTCGCAGAAAAGCTGTCGGGTATGAGACTGGCGTAATAACCAACTACATCAACCTGACTTAGGGCCTCGCAGCACGGCACACAACGGAAAAAGAAACGAGTGCATCTTCCCGCAGAAAATGGCCAGGTTCATCGGTTTGCTATAAATAGTAGCGAGTGTATGTTGCCGCCTTCCGTGGGCAGATGCACTCGTTTCGTTTTCGTTTCGTGCACCCTGGGCCGAGGCCCTTAAAGCACCAGTACATGGGCACCTGGGCTGCGGGCCTGACACCTCAAATTCTGGAGGCGCGAAACGAAAGCACGACCGCCGATCTAATTTATCAACGGCGGGCGCGGCGTTTGACGTTTCGGCCTCTGAGTCGTTTTCATGTGGCAACAAGTTTTGGACTGCAAGGCTGGGGCCGTGTACTGGTGGTTTAAGCCACCAGGGGCAAGGTCCACTTGCGCGGATTAAGAGATTCTGGCCGTTGATCTTTGCTATCTACGGTCAATATCGCTTAATTCGTGTAAGTGGGACCTAGCCCCAGTACACGGCCTCAGCCTTGCAGCAAAATAACTTGTCGCCACAAGAAGTAAAAGGTGGGCTCGGGGCAAGGTCGGAGCGTCAGAAGGTTTTCGAATTTTTGGGCCCATCTCAAATCCCTACGTCCCAAAAACAAAACAGGCTTTGGCCGTGATTGCAGTTGGATACACTGTTTGGAGTACTCGTGCCAGTTTGCCCTCACTGAGGGCACTTCAGCAGAACACGGGGAGCAGGACAGCCGGACTCTCAAAAAAAAGAACAAAAGAAAAAAAGCCTTTGGTCGTGATTGCAGTTGGATACACTTTTTGGATGAAGGGTCCAGTTTCGTGGACCATGGAACTGGTACCGGAGGTCAGCTTTGGGATCGAGGGGAATGACACAGCAGAAATGA